TATAGCTATATATATATGTATATGCTATATACACAGCAGTATATACACACGCAACATGAGAGAATTTCACTACCAACTGAGAGAAAAAGCAAACTAGCACAAGGAAAAAAAATATTAAATGATTCTACCTATATAAAGCTCAAAATCAGGTGAAGTTAACCTATGATGTTACAGATCAGGACCGTGTTCCCACAGATGACGATGGGGTAAAGACTGGAGGGTAGGGGACACGCAGAGGGACACTGTGTTACTAGTGTTGATCAATTTCATAATTTGGATGGTTGGTTATGTGGGTGGTTCACTTTGTGATAGTTTATTGAGCTTCACTTAACTTTTCTTTAGGTTAACAAATTTTTAAATGAACTATAAAATGTCTACAACTTTATTTTCTGGAAAAGAAAAAACAGTCATACAAACTCCATTTAAAAATATCCTACTAAGTATAACCAAATTATTTCCTCTATAGTGAATGAATATTTTGACAAAGCAAAAAACCTTTACTTTAAAGTCATATTTTCTAAACTGATAGTCACATGTAAAAATGTATTGTTTTATTTTTATGTTGCATGGATAAAACTAGAAAGACTAAATTTAAATCACTAGGATGATTTTAAAGTAACAATTTCATTTTTTATATAAATTAGTATCATTTATTTTGGGAGGTTAGGTTAAAGGATTAAATAAGCACTCACTAGATAAAAAATGAAATATGCCCTTTACTATATATTCTTTCAACTTCAAATTTCAAAAGTTCCTTTATCTTTTTGATATGTTTAACAAAGGATAAACACTGTGTTACTTTAATGCACTGAATGGGTAAGAAATAACTTCTAAGTAGGATTAGTAAAAACAATTTAAGTCACAAATCAGCTTTTAGGAAAATACTGCAGTTTGAATACAAGTTTATCTTATTTCCTTCCCAAAATGAATAAAAGAAATTTACTTTCTGAAGAAACTAAATCAGAAAAGTTTAGAACTTACAGAGACACAGATAGTGTGAAGCAAAGTGAACACACCCCAGCGTGGTGAGATTCTCCTCACTACCCCACCCCCAATCTTGCTTCCAGAATGCAGGCCCTCACAGACTTTCCCTCAAGTTGCTCATTTCTAAAGGCAAGAAAATCAAAGATTCTTCCCTGGAGAAACAATCTCGATAGAGACTGACATTTGAGGGGTTTCAAGGAATCAAAACTGGTTCATCAGGGACCACCCTAAAATGGCAATCATCAGTGACACGTGGGGTCTTGCACCCAGAGCTTCTAGCAAGCTGGCAGGTATCATTCTTAAAATACAGCATGAAGCCCCCAACCCCAAACATTCAAGGATTCTGAGTAAACAGCAACCATACTAGGAGCCAAAGAAAATAAAAAATACTGGCAGTATCTTCGGGCTTCCCTAGTGGCACAGTGGATAAGAAGCTGCCTGCCAATGTGGGATATGCGGGTTTGATCCCTGATCTGGGAAGACTTCACATACTGCAGACCAACTAAGCCCGTGCATCTAACTCTAGAACATGTGCTCTAGAGCTGCAACTACCGAAGCCCATGTGCCCTAGAGGCTGTGCTCCACAACAAGAGAAGCCAGCAGAAGGAGAAGCCTGCGCAAGGAAACTAGAGAGAGTAGACCCTGCTTAACACAACTAGAGAAGAGCCTGTGCAGCAACAAGCACCCATCAAAGCAAAAATAAACAAACAGGTCAGTGTGCTCAGTCATGCCTGACCCTTTGGACTGTACGCTGCCAGGCTCCTCTGTCCATGGAATTTTTCAAGTAAGAATCCTGGAGGGTAGCCATTTCCTCCTCCAGGGACATTCCTGACCCCTGGGTCTCCTGAACTGCAGGCAGATTCTTTACCAAGAGCCAACAGCGAAGCCCAATTATTATCTAAAAAACACTGGCAATATCTTTAGAGAGAGATGAGCAGGCACTGTATTCAACTTATGAACAGAATGCTGCAAAACAGCAACAAGTGGCAACTTGAGCTTTCAGAATTTAAAGCATGAGAGGTGAAGTATAAATTCAATAGATTTGATGATAAAGTCAAGGAAATTTCCAGAAAACAGATTAACAGACAAAAATAAATAAAAGAAAATCAGAGGGTCACTCTATAAGGGTCTATTATCCAAAAAAAGCCAGGGAAGTTCTAGGAATGGGAATAGACAATGGAGAGCAGGGAATCATAAAAAGAAACATTTGAGAAAGTTTCCCATTATTGAAGGACATGAATCTCCTGACTGAAAGAGGACCCACTGAAATGAAATGCCCACTTCAACAACAACAACAAACCACACCAAGACACAGCATCATGAAATTTCAGAATATCAGAACTTGGGAGGGAAAAAGAAAAGACCCAAGAGCGCCCAAGGGAGAAAACAGATCCCATACAAAGGAATGGGAACCAGAATGTCCCTGACTTCTAAACAGCAAAGCTGCGTGCTAAGAAGACAGGAAAGCAGTGTCCTCAGATTGTTAAAGGAAAACGATTTTTCAAATCTAGATTTCTATAGTCTAACCAAACTATCAGGAGTAAGGGTAAACTAAAAATATTTTCATACATGTAGGGCCTTGAAATTATGGAGGAGGTGCCTTACCACATGAGAGAATAAATCAAGTAAAAGAAGTAAGTAGGATTCAAGAAAAGAAGGTTTCAGGTGTTTCAGTCAGAAAGGCCCTTCCTTAAGCCCCTGGGGCAGAAGGAGCAACCTCCATCCTGTGTAACATTCAGAGGAGCCTCTGAGCCTCTGCTTGGCCCATCACCCTGACCCGGTGGGATCTGTGGAAACTGGAACTGTATGTTCTTTCTCCAACACGTTATACCATACTTAAATAAAAAGCCAAGTAAAATGATGAAACCAAACCTCTCCTCACCAGCCCCCAACCAACCCAACCCCCTCAGCCTGTGGAAGTATCTTCAGAGCCAGAGAGCTATAGGGAAAAGTCAGTATTTGTCCAAACGTGCCTGGAAAGGCCATCTTCGAGTCCAGGCCTGTGGTCCCCAGGTGCCCAGCAATGAGAGACCCAAAGAAAGTGGACTCTCCCAGCAATGGCTGGCCCTGTGCCCAAGGGTACGTTTTCCTCATGAGTGTGTGACAGGCAGGCCTCCAGGATGCCCACGAGAAACTCATGGAACTGATGAAATTTGTACCGTACAGTTAAATGTAAGACATTTTAACTCCAAACCATGTAAAACAACAGAATATATAATAAAAAAAGCT